GGTACATTTTTGGTCAATTTGGTATCACTTATCACCAAGGACATATTCCATTTCACGGAATTTACTCTACAGATAATACAGTACAGGTGTCCCCGAAATACATGCAGAAAGATATCCTCTGCATCAATATTTTTCATAGTTAAACTGCCAACAATACAAATCTCCATCAAAACAGAATTAGTTTAGGAAATATTGATATAACATTGTCATACAATATTACACAGCCTTTAAGAGGAAGAGGTAAATCGACATGCACTGATAGAGAAAGATATCTACAAAATGGGAAGTGAAAGAGCAGGTTAAATAACAACTTGTATAATATTAGTCTATTTGTAAGATCAAAAAAAAATCGTTACACTATCCCTTCCAATTCTATATTCACAGGAAAAGACATCAATTTGCTCACAGCAGCAATTTCTGAGGATCTGAAAATACCCAGAGATACTTTTTCCTTCAAATAAATCAATATTTTTAACAAGCCTGCATTATTCTCAATAAAAACTTTAATAAGAAACAAAGTACCCAACAGCCAGTTTTTACTAAAAGTGACAGAATAGAAACACAGTTTTAAACCAGGCAAACAGATTCTGAATAAATTAGAAATTTACAGAATTAGAAATTTAGAAAATACTTATGTTGTAAATTTTAAAAGTACATCCTTAAGGAAAAAGTCACAATTAAAATATGATGAACTAAAAATAAAAAGTCACATTTACCATTCTCTGCCCCACAATCTCTCACTGCATATGAGAACTGGATATGATTGTTACAAAATTACTATTCATCTAAAATGTTTAGTTAGGTTAAACAAACCAGTTTTTCCACAGGCACATCAAAACAAATCCATAAAACTGGTTTTGAACAAAAAGAAAAAGAGCGGTTGTCATAAATCTGTTGAAAGAAGTGAAGTAAGCTTATGATTTTTATTTGCTCTAATATAAAATCCTACAATTAAATGTTTAGCTTCTAGAACGTTTCTTTCTCATAAATCAGAGAAATCAAATTATAGTCCTGTCTTCCACTGATCCCAAGAGAAAATTTCTCCTCCATATAAGCATGCCCTAATGCCTACGTGACTAAAAATAAGGATGAAAAATTGCAACTGAAAAATAATTGCAAGGAACTTAAAAATAATTACTACTGGCTCTGTATGCCTAACATTAAGAAAAGACTGGTATCAGAATTAACACGGGAAGAGGGATCCCGTGGGAATCAACGGACCTTCATGAAAAGTTTCACCTTTTTACGTGAATGAGGCAAAGGCTACAGCTTTATAGTTTTCCCCAGAAAAATTAGGACACTTAACAGCTACTTAGAGAGAAGGAGCTATGAGTTGCACTATAAACGGATAAGACTGTTTCACCAGAGAATTAAATTAATTTACTACGTGAATCTGTTAATTAAAATAAACTATTAGGTTAAGGAAAAAAAGAATAAACTGCAATTCCCAATGCTTAAATCTCTAATAACCGACATAAAACGAACTGTGGAAAGGCTTGCTACCACCCTTTGGTACAATGCACAAGTATCTTTTGAACATACCAGTATTGAGTATTGCTCCAGGTACCAGAACTCCACAGAAAAGACAAGATGCCAGCTCTCATGGAGTTCACATCCTACCATACAAATACGATACAAAGTGAATACTGGAGAACATGACATTTGAGTTAAGACCTGAATGACAAGACAGAGACAGCCATGTGACAATGTGGGAACAGAACTCTTCAGGCAAAGACAATACAGAGGATAATGGTACTATAAAAAAGCTTAACGGCTTGTCTCTAAACCAATTTCTTTTAACAAAATGCACTCTCTGATGATTCCTATGTGCACTAACAGTCTGAAAACCACTGGATGAAAAAATCCTTAAGAGATAAACAAATGACATGAAATCATCAGGACAGGATTAAAATGAGAATAACATTGGCTCATGTTAAGAATCAGTTAATCGATGCTAACTATATTGCATGCACTGTGTTAAATTATATAGTCTCATTTTCAGGCTGAAGACATACTGTGAAATATCCACACCACTTATAATTAACAATAGTTAAACAAACCTGTGATAGAGTAGGTCAAAAGTTGTTGGAATAGATGAAGATACTCAGTCTTACTCTTACAATAGTACAAAATTTAAAATACAAAGCTACCATTTCACTTATTAGATTCCAAAAAACATTAAGGACACATAATATCTGAGGCTGGTGAAGGCCAGAGTGAAGGGATGCTCCCATTCAACATAGCTGTGCCATAAACTGGTTTAACTTTCTTAGATAGCAAATTATCACTAGCTACTAAAATTTAACATGTGCATATTCTGCACATTTGCTGCACAGAGAGTCCCACATGATAGAACAAAATTACATATAAAACTGTTCATTATATACTGCTTATTGTAGCAAAAAAAAAAGGAAACTCCAAATGCCTATCAATAAGGGATTAAATAAATCATAAAAAGTAATGATATAAATTGATGCACATTGAAATGAAAAAGTGTCCAATACACAATGTAAAAGGAAAATATTGCTTGATGGTTTATATATGATATACAGTTCTTTTTTTGTGGAAACAAGTATGCTTATAATGTACAGAAACAAGACTGTTTGTATATGTATGGAATATATGTAGAAGGATTATATATATTAAGCTGTTACCAGTGGTTTCCTCCTTTAGGACTAGGATTGGAGATGGAGAAAGGAGAAAGGGCAAACAGAAGACTTCTTTTTAAATTTCATAATCATCTCTATTATTTTTCCCCCAAATAGTGAACATGGATTACCTTAGATGAACTTTTTAAAATGTCTTTAAAAAATGAAGATGGGTTTGAGTTCACCAAGAGCTTGAAGCTGGAATATCTTTCCAAGGTTCTTTTTATCAGGGAACATAGAAATGGCCCCAAGTATTGAGCTAAATGTTATGACATTTCCTTAAAATGAAATACCATTGGTATTACAATTAATAGAAAACCATTATACAAAACTAGTATACCTAGGGTATCTTTTAACTATACCTAAATGACATTCCATCATATAAAATTAAGTATAATGTGGTTTGCAAAGCCTTCTGGGACTTAGTCCTATGCTTCTCAAACTTTAATAGTCATGCAAATCACCTGCAGATCCTGTAAAAATGCAGATTCTGTTTCAGTAGTCTGTGATGGGGCCTGAGAGCCCCCTTTTCTATTAAGTTCCAAAGACGAAATTTTGAGTAGCAAGAATCTAGCCCAAGCTTCTCACCACTCTCTATACTTAATTTTTAAACTAATTTTAAAAACTAGTTTTATTTTAAGCATCTGTCGCACAAAAGTTTTTTTTAAAGTAAATTAACATCCAATCTCAAGTTTAACAAGTCCTTGGTAGCAATAATAGCCCTTATGAGCAATCAGCATCTGATTTAAATAGTAATTGAGTAATATTTTAATTATTCTTTGGGAAAAGTTGTCTTTTTAAAAAGGATAATTAGCACTAGGCCCTCACTGCTTCTGGTTAACAGGTTAAACACAAAAAACTTCCACCACCCCTAAAGTTTCCACCACAACCCATAAAGTTGCCAGATCCACCTCTTTACAAACCAGCAGACAGCATTTCTTGTTTAGAAAAAGCCTTTTTCACAATTATGCCCATTAACAGTGTGGTATTTCTGAACAACAATTTTATCAACTGTATCGCGATCATCAAAAATTACAAAAGCAAATCCTCTTTTCTCCACTCTGTCTGTCTTCAGTAACTGTCTTCAATATGGCTGCGATTTTGCCATACTTTTCATAGTCCCTCAAATTATATTCTACTGTATCTTTAATATCCGCAACGAAATTTCCTTCACTTTCAGAAGAGCAGCAGGCTTTCCAGAATCCTGTCTAGAAACAACTCTCTTTGGTTCCACCACACACCCACCAACCTCGTGTGGTCCAGCACTCACCGCTGCATCCTCCTCTTAACACGAGAGGAAGTCACAAAACTAAAGGTTCTGGAACGTTTTGTTTGGGGGTTTCTCATCACCACACAATCTGGAAGTGTGCCCCATTCCTCAAAATGTTCTTTTAAACTATCATCTGTAGTTGCAGAGATCAGACCACTAATTAAGTTTCCTCAATTGCTCTGGTTCCTTTGGACATGGCCCTCCTCCCTCTGGCAGCAGGCTGGCAGCAACAGGGTGGTGGCGTTACCTCCTTTTAAGACCAGACTCACCTCTTCCAACTCTAGTTCAACATGGAACTGAGAGGAAGAAGCCTCCTCATACTTTAGATTCCATGAATTACTGCTCCAGTCCCTACACACCATATTCTTCATACCTCTGTGCCTTTTTACATCATCATCTTCCTTGTAAATGGTTTTCCCCTCACCTATTCCACTTCAAAAACTTTCACTCTTTGTTACAAGTTTAGTTCAACTTTGCAGGTATTTCAGGCATATGTGGATGCTGTTCTTTTGTATCCCGAGGCCCCTATGCATTTAGGTTCAACTGTCACATTTCTTATTCACTTGTCTGTCTCCTTATGAAACTATGAATTTGAAGCTAGAAGATATCTATCCTCAGCACATAGATATTCAATAAATGTTTTCTGCATCCAAGTCACTAAGGTATGATTCTGCCACTACCTTTAAGATAATGGTTGTCACACTTCTATAACTTCTATACTAAAAATATTTTCTTCAAAGAACTTTCCTTTAAAGTATTTTCCAGTGAAAAATACTGTCAAATTATTGAATGTAATCTCTTAAAATAAAAGACAACACATATTCAAAATTAAACTAAAAAGTAACGCTATTTGATAGGATGTTTACCTTACTGCTGGAAAAAAGTCATGTTAATTTCACTCTATTTGAGGGTAAAAAGGGCAAAGTTGTTCTCTTTGGTCCTCTTTTAAACACTAAATAAGAATGGCATTAATTTTCTTTCCCTCAAATTAATTAGGACTTCTACTATATTTTAAAAACAAAATGACATAATAGTATCTTAAATCAAAAGTTAATATAGGCAGTCCTCTCTTTACCACTCACCTTCCTCATCTATCCACTTCATGGTGAAAAGCTGTTCATTGTCAAAAGAACACATGTCTCGAACCTCATTGCAAAGGCCCTCAAAGGAGATTGAAGGTTCAAAATGAGTTATCATGATATCTCTGAAAAAGAAAAGGAGTTTTAAGTTAGTGACTAAAACTAATATAAGACTCTATAATACCTAAGGTCTGTAATCTGTAGATGCCTGACAATCTGATGGACTTGCGTTATTTTGTGTAGGCGTCAACATGTGTTGCTTACAGTAAACTATCTCTGTAAGGCAAAAAATAAAATATCAACATTAAATAACGCTTAAAAATAAAAATAGTGAATTTATGAGAAACCTTATTAAGGCTGCCTCTCTTACTCCCTCATCTTCGGAAACAGCCTGCATTCTGTCTATGGAGTGCGTATCTACTTTTATTTTAAACAGGAGCACCCAGCCCCGACATCTCGTGGCCTTTCTCTTACCTTTTGAAACAGCCTACACTCTATATAGTATGCATCTCTCTAAATAAATCTACCTTTACTCAACTGTGGCTCGCTCTTCAATTTTTTCCTGCACAAAGCCAAGACTTCACACTTGGCGGGGCACGTCCCAGGGGCTCAGCCAAGACCTGGGACACAGCCCTCCACACGCCCCACATTCGTTTTTCCTGTATCATCTCTCTGGCATGGGGCATTTAATTAAAGAGATGGGGCTCAAAGGGCATAATCTCGATCCATCTATTGGGCTACAGCTGCCCTCTCTTGCGGAGATTCAAGTAGCCCTTTAGGTGGCGGCTGACGCCGCTGCAGGATCTGGCAGAGGCCAGCTCTCTAGCCGAGAAGAAGCCCACCGAGCCCAAGGCTTTTCTCTCCTCGATCTTTTCTCATCCTCTCCTCTATCGCTCTATCTCTTCGGACTTGAGAAGATCCACCAAGGAGACCACTTGGACATCTAAATTAAGACCACGTGGCAAGTAACTGGCAACCTGGTAGGTGTTTAACCAGACCTTTTAAATCTTTTGTCATTATAGACAGTTGAACTGCTGTTACAAAGGTACTTCATCTTTAAGATGACTCATCACAGGTCTAAGGAAACAGTGGGTTACAACAGTCTCACATCAGAAGATGGCTATGAGAGGACTCCAGCCCATACCACCCTCTGACGCAAAAACAAAAGGCTGTCCTGCCCCTGGGAACCCTAGATTAGGCATTCAGAGATTTTTTACTCCCTGATAGGCAGGGTCAAAGCCCCTACCCAGCCCTGAAGTAGTTTCAGAAGACGGACCATCACCCCTCTGCACCCCCATAAGATTATGGGAGTAAAATCTCTGAGGGGGGATGAGACAGGAGGGAAGGGGGCAGGGCACAGCCATTCAAGGAATGACACAGCAATTAACACCAAAATGATGGAAGATTCAACTCTCAGTAGGCCTTGAGGTTCAAGATGGCGGGAGATTTGACTTCCAATAGATCCTGAGCTTCATTATATGCCCACTGTAATATTAACGTAGTAAATGACACTGCCACAGATGCCATGACAGCTTCAAGGCTGACCATAAAAGGTCAAAGAGTGGGTGGTGGCCCAATTCCTGGGAATCCCAGCCCTTTCCTCAGGGTAGTTGGAATGGTCCTCCCCCATGTTTGCATGTGAAGCTACTTGACTCCATAAAAATTGGCAACACTGCCTCATGGCCCCCCCTCTCGCTCCCTCATCTTTGGAGACTGCCCACAATCTGTCTATGGAGTGTGTATCTATTTTTACTTTAACCTGAACACCCAACCTCCACACTTTGTGGCCTGTCTCTCGCCTTCTGAAACAGCCTATACTCTATGCAGTATGTATTTCTCTAAATAAATCCACCTTTGCTCAAAAAGGAAAAAAAAAAGAATAACCTTATTCAATCTCCCCTCTTCATTCAGGAAGCCCACCCTAACTGCTCTAACAGACAGTAGTCTCACTTTTGCTTTAATGTTAGTTATCACAAGCTTGCTCTTTTGTGAGGCATTGCAATCCACAAATAATTCCATTGTTGATAAGCTTCTGCATTATATTTAACTGAAATCTATTCCAATCCCTAGTGCTCCATCTCCCCTACCCTTCTACTTTCATTCAAGAGATGGCCATTCAAAAATTTGACAAAGATCAGTCATGTCCTTTTCCTCAGCCTAACTTCCACAGATTAAACACCCATGAGACTGTCAATCATTCTTTGTATGGAATTTTTTGATTTCACGCCTTCATTTTCACTTTTTTCCAAATGAACTGTGATTTGCCAAAATTGGTTTTAAAATAGGATTCATATTTTAAGGTAGACACCCCCAAAACGGAAGAAATAGACATAAATGTGTATTTATATTTATTTTACTGTTAAATAAGCCACAGTTTTTAAATAAAATGAATCCACATAGCAGCTATTCACCACAAGATTTAAAAATGCAACAAAATATTTTAGAGCAGAGGTCTGGGATTTTCTTCAAGGAGCCATGAGAAGGCAGCCTGTGATCTAATCCAATACATAGTAGCCAGCCACAGTCATCCTTGCAAATGTAAGTCAAATAGACTGAATGACTCTAATTTAACGTATAGTGATTTCTAAGTGCCAGAGTCTGTCGTAAGGGTTTTACAAAAATTAATGTAGTTCATGTTTTTCCTCTGTGTGTGTTTTTTCAATAAGCACTATGACTTTCCTTTGTTTTAAACTCTTCAAATGCCTTTCCCCCCTCTCATGCAGAATAAAATCCAAGGTCCCCAGCAGGGTCTACAAGGCCCTGTGTGAACTGCCCCAGCTGCCTCTCCGACTACCTCTTCTACCTGGACAGTTAAACCAATGTTAATAGTCCACTGTCTACCCTAGCTAGAATGTAAACTTGATGAAAGTAGGAATTTTGTTTTGTTCATTATATTCCTAGTGGCCAATGTAGTGTCTAGCAGAGAATGGGCAGTCGATAAATATTTGTTGATGAAAAAAAAAAGGAACTGTAAGGAACTATGTGAACAGACATGCGTAGTTGGAACCTAGAACACACAGTAAGAAATAAGGGATTAAAATTTTTAGTCATCTGCGAAAACGTTAAAACTGCAATCTTTAGGGACCTTATAGAAGTAGTAAGTCAAACATAGAAACTGAATAGCTTTTTCTTGATAATCATTCTCTTTCTGAGCATCTCACGGTTTTCTGTCCCTGCCTCTTAAACGCATTTTTCCTTGGCTTTCATGACAATATGCTTCCCTGGCTCCCTTTCTACTATTCTGAACACTTCAATCACAAGACACTCTTCACGCCCTCTCTCATATTCATTCCTTGTCTCTCTCTTTCTGAAAGTCAATTCTCATTCAATGTTTTAACTATTATCTCTGTGTAAGGGTCTCTTAAATCTGTAATCCTAGTTCTCTGTGTAGTATTTAAGACTCTTGATAAGCTGGTTCCACTTTCTGTTCTCAATCTGATCCTAGACATTCCTGACACTGACACTCTGTTACAGACATCTGATTTACTCACAACCCCCACACATAAGACCTTGGTGATCCAAGTTTTAATCTTAAAAGTAAGATTGACTGTTTGTATGCATTATGTTCCTCAGTTCCTCAGTTTAAGGCTCAGTTTACAGAGGGAGGTGGGGATCTCTCTTTAACTGGCTATTCAACATCAACCCCCATCAAACCTTTTTCACCCACACTATGCTTGTCCAACATGTATCTTTTGTCCATCTTTTGTTTTCAACTATTTATATACACACATCCTCAATTAAATTATAAACAACTGAAAGACAAAAATTCTTGGCCTTTTTAATACATTCATATAACATAATAGGGACTCAAATACTACTTAACTGAATGTGCAAGAAGTATTTTCTAGGAGAAACTCATCTTCTGGAAAGTACACTTTTGACAAGAAAATATCACTGTTTATGTTTCCTTAGCCTATAAACATGTATGGAATATTCAGTGTGTTTCAGATGTTTGAATTAAGTTTTTATCTTATACGATCTTCACAAGAACTGTCAAACTAGACAAATTAATCCTATTTTACAGATTTTAAAAGCACAGCACAAAGGAACATTTGCTGGAGTCTCACAGTTAGGAAACAGAATATATATTCAAATCCACGTCTCCTAATGACACGTGGTGCATGCTGTGCTCTAACCTCCCCCTCCCTCACCTCCAGAATCCCCCATTAGCAATGGATCATTTATTACACTAGCTCCTGGGAGTGCTACCAGTAGACAACCCCAGCCATCAACCTCTTTCAGAGATATGACTCCTCCCTTATGTCAAACCCCAATGACTGATTTGAGGTGGGTACAAAGGTCCTAGATGTGACTCAGAAAGGCTCTCAAGTGTCAACTCATCTTCAGAATTCCCTGGAGGGTCAACTGAGGTTTCTGTTGAGACTTCACAGCATCTGGATTTTTTTCTACCTAAGCCTGCTTCCTTCCCTTCCCGTCTCTTCCATAATCCATAACCGTCAATCCCAAGAGCACTCCTGAAAAAACGTCCTGCATGCTAATCTGAGATATCACTTTCCACAGGAGCATCCACCCAAAGCATAGCTATTATCAGATGACACTATTTGACAAAAACATAATGCATAAAAACAGTCAATCTTACTTTCAAGAGATTGGCTAATGAAAACTGTAATCCTTGTTTCAGAGACTAAATCAGTCTACTCTATAGCACATGAAGCTAGTTAATTTTTTTTTTATTCTTCAGAGAAAATAAATTGCTGGCATGTATAAATTATACATATTTTACAGTCTGTCTCCCCCAGCTAAATGTAAAATTCATGAGAGCAGGCATTTTGTTTTGCTCATTGCTGTTATCACCAGTATCTGAAGCAGCATCTGGCCCACAGTAAATGTTCAATTAATAATTGTTGAGTGAATGGACTCTAAAGAAAGCGTGAGAAAATGTAAGCATAAAAAGCTTTTCACAAAGGAGTAATGACATATATTAGACAGCCACAGAATAATGGTTAAGACCATGAGAGCTAAAGCCAGTATGCTTGGGTCTGAATCCAGGCTCTATCACTTAGGTGAGTTACTTCTCTGTGGCTCAATTTCCTCACCTATAAAATGGGAATAATAATATCTCCTATGGTGTTATAAGGAGTTAATGGATTAAGTGAATTAATAT